AGCCATAGACGAGGCTATATGGAGTAAAACCCGTAGAAGTCCGAATTGTTGTCTTGTATGTCCACAAAGCTTCTGGTAGTCTGTCATGCCAATCTCTTTTGTTTTGGAATTCATCTTAAGGATTTTGCATAGCGACTTATTGAATGTTTAGGTTTGTCCATTAGCTGATGGGTTGTAACTTGCAGAATGCCCATGTCGAAACATGTATTTTTTGATTAATTTTCACATGGATTGATTTTTGAAATACAAGGCATTATCAGAGATGATCTTCGATCGAACCCCAAAACGATAAATCATGTGGTTCTTAATAAAATTTACAACATCCAATGCCTTTACATCCTTTAAAGGTTCAACCTTAGCCCACTTGGAAAAATAATCTGTTCCCGCCAAAATGTATTGATGAGAATGTGAAGATGGGGGCTTAAAAGGGCCAATTACATCTAGACCCCAAGTCTCAAAAGGCCATGAAAACATAGTTGGATGGAGTAATTGAGGGGGTTAATGTATAAAATCTCCATGCAGCTCACAAACTTTCCAAGTTTTTGCAAATTTCATTGAATCTTGTACCATGGTTGGCCACTAATAACCGAATCACTTTAGTTGTTTGGCAAGTTTAGGTCCAGCTTGGTGCGCACCGCAAGTATCAACATCAGTTTAATACAAAGCATTCACCGCTTCTTCTTTTGACGAACACCTAAGAAGGATTCCTTCAATTGATTTTCTGTATAGGGTGTCATTTAGGTACGCAAAATGAAGGGCTCTTCATCTCAAATCAACCTTTGTTTTTGGCTTAGACAGTAGTTTACCATTTAGGAAATACTCAATGAAAGGTTGCCGCCAATTTGGATCTTCTTCAGTTTCACAAACAATTATTAAATTTGTGCTTTCTGTTGCTTCCATACAGTCGAGTGCTGGATGTAGTAAATGATGTTCCCCAACTGTGACTTGGATGTCCCTTTGCTCAGGAAGAGTTAGAGATGTAGCTAAATTAGCTAGTGCATTTGCTTTTTCATTTTCTGACTTAGGCACATGATTGATCTGGATATCTTGGAATTTAAACAAAAGTATTTACCCCTTTGATAGTAAAATACCAAATTTTCATTTTTCACTTCATACTAATCATTTAATTGGTTGACAATTAATTGAGAATCACCAAACACTTACAAACAATCAATATGCATTTCAAGTGCAATTTATAGGCCAATGATCAATGCTTCATACTTAGTTGCATTATTTGAGCATAACGCCAATAACGAGAATGAATATGAAATTAATCCTCCAAAAGGTGTCACCAACACAATGTCTGGCCCTGCTCCTCGTTTCCTTGATGCCCTATCAAAATAAAGCTGCCATGATGATGTTTCAATGGGCAAGACATTGTCATCAGGAAAGTCATCAAGTAACTGCATGTTGTCAAGAACAGGATGAGCTGCTAAGAAATCTACAAGTGTTTGTCCCTTTATAGCCTTTTGAGGTACAAACATAATGTCAAACTCTGTTAACAGTATAGACCAATGGCCAACTCTTCCTGACAAGAATGGTTTGGACATCAAGTACTTTAAAGGATCAGCCTTATAGGATGGGCAAGTAAGTAATGCCGTAATTTTTGCACTGAAAAGATTAATGCCAGACACATGTTCTCAATAGGGGAGTAGTTGTGTTCTTCTCTCACAAGCGTCCTACTGAGGTAGTACAAGACATTTTCTTTTCCATCATCATTGTTTTGAGCTAGCATTGCCTCTAGAGAGCATTCGAGTGTCGCAATGTACAAAATTAGGAGTTTTCCTTTTATAGGAGCCATTAACACAGGGGTTTTTGATAAATACTCCTTAATGCTTTCAAAAGCATTCTAACATGCTTGATCCCATACAAAAGGCACATGTTCTTCATTAGCCTTGAGAAAGGTTGACATATTCCTAACAAATTTGAGATAAACCTCCTTGTGTAGGCCATTTTTTGTTATAAACTGTGTAACTCAGGTAACTTGCAAGGAGAAGGCATTTTTGTAATTGGTTTTATTTTGGTGGGATCAATTTCATTACCTCAGAGCCTGATGATGAAACCAAGGAACTTTTTAGAAGTTACCCCAACGCACATTTTAAGGGGTTCATTTTGAGTTGATTCTTTCTGAGTCTATCAAAGACTCTTTTAAGGTCACTCAAATGATACTCCCTTTTTCTATATTTAACAACCAAATTGTCCACATAATATTCAACCGTGTTGTGGAGAAAATCATTGAAAATGATTGTCATGGCTCTTTGGTAAGTGGCACCTACATTTTTCAATCCAAATGGCATTACTGTGTAACAATAAATTCCTTTTGGAGTACGAAATGCCATGAGTTCCTCGTCTTTAGGCGCCATTTTTTTATTGTAACCTGAGAAGCCATCCATAAAAGATAAAACATCAAACCTCGTTGTTGCATCCACTAGTAGTTCAGTAATTGGGAGTGGGAACTCATCTTGAGGACATGCATCATTTAGATCCCTAAAATCTATGCAAAGGCGCACTTGTCCATTCTCTTTCTTAACAGGCACAATATTTACGAGCCAAGTGGGATATAGAAGCTCCCGAATAAAACCAGCACTTATCATCTTATCCACTTCGACTTCAATTTTTACAGTTTGTTCTGGCCGAAAATGACGTTGGCCTTGCTTTATAGGGCATTTATCATCCAATAAAGCTAGTTGATGTACTGCAATTTTTGGATCTAGTCCTGGTATGTCTTGATGGCCCTAAGAAAAGACATCCTGATATTCCCGAAGAAGGTGCTCATAATCATTTAATTATTCCAGAGAGAGTTGAGCACTAACAAAGATAGGCTTAGGATCATCGGCTGTACCAAGATTTATTTCTCGAAGCTCATCAACAGTGGCCTGTCCTCCGTGTTCAATTTGAGGAGGTGTTAGTTGAACATTATTTTTGAACTTTGGGTCATCTTCTAGAATAGGATTTTCTTCCTCTCTTCATATCCAAAGAATTTGCTGTTTGATTTTCTTCAAAGGGAAACACAATTGACTTAGACAATCCCTTCTAGTTTTTCTTCTGCTTTAACTTCCTCAACGTTTTTCAAGACAATTCTCCTTTGAATTTTTTGCTTCAACTTCCATTTCTTGTTCACATTGGACTTTTGGAATGTAGGCTTTGAATAACCTCCAAGCCATTGAAAAACTGAAACTTGACACTTTTTTGTCACCCTCATCTTCAGTGAACATAGCTTGTTCTTTATCAGTGAAAACTAATACTTCGGAAGAGGAAGTCTTGGGAATATAATTTTTTCTAGCGAGTTATGACTTTCTTTTTCCCCTTCTTTAAGAAAACTTTACTCTTTTGGGGTCCCAAATTGTATGGAGATGATGATGAAGGAAAATTTGATGTTCTCTCTTTAAGGAAAATAAATCCCTTTATCTGACTTTCATCCTCTCCAAATGTGGTTAAGATTACAATGTCTTCAGGGATTGATTGATTTATTCTTCAAAGAGGACATGTGTAACTTATAGTAAGTGACGACATTGTATCTTGAACTAAACTCAAAACTTCTTTTTTTAATTTTCTTTGTTCTTTTGGTACATACTTCAGAATCAATCTTTCCTTCGGTGCAATAGAAACTTGACCTTTTTGGACCCTTTTAGAAGTTGTCTTGACTCGGATAACCTTTGAAGCTTTTGATGATTGAGAAGTTGATGGTTTGGAGCTACCTTCATTCCTCATTATAGTTTCTTTATCCTTTCGGCTATCAGTAGAAAAATGAGAATTTGTCATTTTATTGAACTTGACGTCAGCATAGTTCACCTCTTCACTCCCAAATGGATTTGGGTCTGCCACCATTGTCTTTTCCTCCCCGTCTTTATAAAACTTGAAAACTTGATGGAGTGTGGAAGGAATGACACCATTAACATGCAGCCATGGACGTCCTAACAAGGCATTGTATGTCGTATCAACATCTATGACAAGGAAAATGGCCTCCGTGTGAAAATCGTTAATTTCAATCTTCACTTCGATAGTGCCTAGGGCTCTTTGCCTTACTTGATTAAAACTTGAATTATTAGTATGGATGGTGAAAAATGTTTTGCTGACATATCCATGACATGAAACGTCTTTAAAGGAAGTAGATTTACAGCTGAACCACAGTCAAGCATAATTCAATTCTCTTGAGTGTCTCCAATTTTGCCAATGGCATAAAGAGGACGGTTGTGATATTCCACCCCCAACTGAAGGTCATCATCGGTGAAGGTAACGTGGGCCATACATTAAGCACATACTTTCAATGAGTGTTGAGCATCTATTGGTTCAACATAATAAACGTAGAGATCTGGACTTGTCAATGCTTGAATTAACGTCTTGCTAAGCTCTCTAGACAGCTATAGAGCATCATACACACTCAAAAGTGCTGGGATGCATTTTAGATGTGCGAGGACATCAAATTTAACCTTTATAGGAGATGATGCATTTATAGACCATTGATTTGCTGGTGCCCCTTGGTTACCTCTACGCTTAATAGCTTCCCCATTTTCGGATGATTCTTTTGGCACTTGACCTTTAGGACTCAAAAATGAGGGTTCTACAACTTTTTTATTTGGTAGAGCTTTCGGAAGTGACGGAAGGCGTCGTCTAGAATGTAAGGTAATCTCGTTTACCTCGGGGTCAAATAAATCACCTTCCTTGCATGTGGCCATGCAACATTGCATCACCATTTCTTCCTCAACATCTTCATCTTTGAAGAATTCCGTGGGTAAATACTCTTCAAGAGTAATTGGTACTCTCTCAGGTTGGACGTACTCATCGTCCAAATGGACTAGAGGTTTCTTTTGAGTCTTTTTTTTTTCTTGTTTTTCTTTTCCACCTTTTTCCCTTGAAACTTTATTCCACGGTGGCCTGAAGATTTGACACTAGGGGATAAAGTATTTTTCCTCTTTTTAGTCCTCGCTGACATGTGTTTGCCACTCATCTCCACCTTCATTTCCTGATTCATAAGAATCGCTCAAACAATCCAAATTTGGTTATGTCATAAGCTCATGAAGTGTTGGAATTGTCGGATTTTTTGAATGGGGCATGTCCGGATAAGCATACTGATAGGTAAGCTCACCGTCGACAACAAAAGTAACTTGGATTTCCCCCTTTGGTAGCATGACATTGGGGATGGACTCGTTTTCAACTAGGAAAATATTATTTGATAAGGGATTTTTGGAAGTTTCTTTCCCATTTTTAGGGATTTCATTTCCTTTTCCATTTTCTATCTTCTTATTGACATTGACAAATGTAGGCATGGCCTCATCTTTCTTTGTTTGCTTCTTATTATCAAACTTCTTATCTTTAGTCATTCGAGATTTTTGAGGCACATTCTTTTGTCGGCCTATTTGTCTTTCAACATTTCTAGCTTTGGAGACAAGAGCGTNGAACTTCTTATCTTCAGTCATTCGAGATTTTTGAGGCACATTCTTTTGTCGGCCTATTTGTCTTTCAACATTTCTAGCTTTGGAGACAAGAGTGTCAAATGAATGGGGTTCCGCCGTGCCTACAATTGTTGCAATCTCTGGAAGCAAATTATTAGAACACATTTGAACTAAAAATTATTCACTTAGCTTTTCAAAGCATTGAAGGTTAAGACTTATCCACCTTGTAATGAAGTCATTAACACTTTCATTTGTTCTTTGTCGAGCATCTGCGAGGGCAATTATTGAGATTTTCTTCTTTGAACTAACAAATTGGGCTAAGAATGCCCTTTGCATATCATCCTATGTGATGATCGAACCTGGCTGCAATTGAGTGTACCAAGTGAATGCTGACCCTTTTAAGGATTGCACAAATTGCCTTATTAACAGGGCGTCAAACAAGGCTGACTCCCCACATGCTGAAAGTTTGATTAAAACCATTAAAATTTTTCAAAGTTTGATTTTTGATAACCATGAGGAAATGGGATGCTATTGTAATGACCAAGATATGGCCTACGATACCAAAGCACTAGTGGAGTCATGGATGCTTGGAATTCTTGAATTCCATTAGCAATTAATGTTTCAAATCTTCTAGAGTGACTAGCATTGTAGAAGTTTGAGGCTCTTCAGTGGTTTGAACATGTTCTCGTGCTGAGGCGCTAGCTTGGATAGCCACGTGGGCTGCTAGGGTAGCAATCTCATCGTCTTTCTCTGCCAATTTTCTCTACATCTCACTTAACTACTCCTCAATGCTTGACGTGCCTGTAACAAGAACTGACATATCCTTTGAGTCAAACTCTTGATCAATTTTTAGCTTTTCTCGGAACTGATGTCCCAACTCATCCAAAAAATCCTCTTCTTGGAAGAAAGCTTTAAGATCTCCATAAAGAGGATTATTTGAACTTGACATTGTGCTGATGGGTTGTTCATGTCAATTTGATGCTATTGATTCCTCTGAGGTAGCTTGTGACAATTGACTTGATCCGAAATGTGAACACTGAAGGGCAAGTGGTCAAGTTATNGTCCTCTTCTTGGAAGAAAGCTTTAAGATCTCCATAAAGAGGATTATTTGAACTTGACATTGAGCTGATGGGTTGTTCATGTCAATTTGATGCTATTGATTCCTTTGAGGTAGCTTGTGACAATTGACTTGATCCGAAATGTGAACACTGAAGGGCAAGTGGTCAAGTTATAGTAATAATCTGGTTAAGTTCAGAGTCGAATCCACAGGGAATTATGATTGGTGTTTTGAAGTAAGGAATAATAGAGACCAAGTAACTGGAAATTTTGAGAGTTTGGAGTGGTGGGGTTTCTTGAATAGAATAGAAGATTATTTTCAAGAGTTTTCTAGACAAAATATAAGATTCTCAAAATGTGATAGCCACCCTTTAGTTCGAGGATCAGGACATGTAATTGATTATCCGATTTGTTATGTTTGTGTTTTATAACTCAATTAACTCCCGTGTCAACAACAAGTTAATCTGAAGATAAAGATGAACTGTCCGATGCCTTTTTAGAAGTTTACAAGAATTGTCTGTACCGAGACTTAACCCATCTACAAACAAGCAAGTGTTTCTACAAGGCTTCCAACCATGGCATTAATGATCCATCCTTTGAATAAGCGCAATAATAGTGGAGATTGAAAGGTNTGAAGATAAAGACGAACTGTCCGATGCCTTTTTAGAAGTTTACAAGAATTGTCTGTACTGAGACTTAACCCATCTACAAACAAGCAAGTGTTTCTACAAGGCTTCCAATCATGGCATTAATGATCCATCCTTTGAATAAGCGCAATAATAGTGGAGATTGAAAGGTTGTCATAAAAAGCTAGTCGAGGTGCTTGCCTTGAACCAGCAGGTCTTTCTATGTAGCAGTCATTCGTATCATAGAGGGAGCCCTTGGTTATACAAAGTACCTCAACTTTGCTAAANCCTTGAACCAGCAGGTCTATCTATGTAGTAGTCATTCGTATCATAGAGGGAGCCCTTGGTTATACAAAGTACCTCAACTTTGCTAAATGCATTCAATCATCCAATGAACAAGTGGAATATAAAACATTAAAGCATATAGNTCTTGAACCAGCAGGTCTTTCTATGTAGCAGTCATTCGTATCATAGAGGGAGCCCTTGGTTATACAAAGTACCTCAACTTTGCTAAATGCATTCAATCATCCAATGAACAAGTGGAATATAAAACATTAAAGCATATAGGAGTGGCACAAACATAACTTCCGAATAATCTTTACATATTCATCACCTTTTACTAAAGTGTGAATGAGGAACTACTCACTCTTAATGGCCTTGGCAAAGCTAAAAAAGTGAGTGATACTCATCCCTCCAAGTAGAGGAGTTACTAAGTGAAGCAAACTAAACAAAAAGATTATCTTCAATGAAGAATAAGTGAATCACTTTCGACCCTTCATGGCTTTGGTAAAGCTTTAGAAAAGTGGAAGAGTTTCACCCTTCTAAGAAAGAATGATGCTCAAGCAATGGAAATGAAATACATGAACAATAAAAGTAGAAGAAAGCTAGTTACTTTTGGAGGGTTTCCACCACAACCAAAAGATGAGCTATCTCTTTGATACTTGTAAATAAAAGCAAGTACAATTACAAGGGAAGTCTAAGCCTCCATCATGGTTGTCACAACGTAAATGTAAAGACTTAAAATAAATAAATGAAATACTTCAACTACAAGGGGAGTCTAAGCCTCCATCATGGTTGATACTAAAATTAAACAAGCAATGTATGCAAACTAACTTTCTAATTTACAAGAGAAAAAAAATTGCTAAGAAGAAAAACTCTCTATTTTACAAGGAAAAGGATGCCCTTTAAGCTCCCAACATNAAGCAATGTATGCAAACTAACTTTCTAATTTACAAGAGAAAAAAAATTGCTAAGAAGAAAAACTCTCTATTTTACAAGGAAAAGGATGCCCTTTAAGCTCCCAACATGAGAGTATTTATAGGCAAGGAAGGGGAGGGGTATAGGAGATAAGAGGGGAGGAGTGAATAGTGTTTGCTGCCTATGGAAACCAACTACTCTACAGGCAGTCTGTGGAGGACGTTCTAACGTTTTCTTCTGTTTTGCTTTAGGGATGTTCGATGTTTCTTCTGGTTTTGTTTTATAAGCGTTCGAATGCCAGATAGNTCTAACGTTTTCTTCTGTTTTGCTTTAGGGATGTTCGATGTTTCTTCTGGTTTTGTTTTATAAGCGTTCGAATGCCAGATAGGGCCTGACCTTTTCCATTCAAGTGGTCTTCTGTCAAAGTTCATTTTCACACTCTATGCAGAAGTCTGTCAGTTGATTCCAAGGGACGTTTGAACATTTAATGGCGTTCGAACGTTGCATTCAAGTGCTTCAAAGCTTCAGAGTCCTCCTTTGTTTGCTGCAACATGGCATGTCTCATCAGTCTGGCCTTCAATTAGCTCAAGTGGACATTTGAACGTTAGTTGNTTCATTTTCACACTCTATGCAGAAGTCTGTTCTTCAGTTGATTCCAAGGGACGTTTGAACATTTAATGGCGTTCGAACGTTGTATTCAAGTGCTTCAAAGCTTCAGAGTCCTCCTTTGTTTGCTGCAACATGCCATGTCTCATCAGTCTGGCCTTCAATTAGCTCAAGTGGACATTTGAACGTTAGTTGATGTTCGAACGTGGTACTCAAGTACCTCAAGGTCCTGGTGCTTGACTGCAACACACTGTCTCAGCAGGCTAGTTTTGTCATAGTTTAAATGGATGTTCGAACGTGATTTGGTGTTCGAACGTTCTTGCTTTTTCCCAGCCTCTCCAATTTAATTCCCTAATGTGCTGGTGCGACATTTAAGCGTGACCTTTGTTGCCCTCGAGCCCTTGTTCACTTTAGAACCTAAAATGTGCATACTTGAACTCCATCAAAGTACAATTAGTCTTGAAAAGACACAATAATATGCTACATTTAAGTACCAATCACACCCACCAACCTAAATATTGCTAGTCTCTAGTAATATAACCTAAATAAAATGCAAATCCATTTCTAATACCTTTTTCGTAGGTCATCAGGTTGCATTTAGCTTATTCAACAAGCCGTTGAATTGCTAGGTTTACCCTAGTGGACAAGTGTTGTCTCGTGAAGGTTTTCAGTGAAGCTACCCACAAATTTCAGTCGAACAAATGTGTATATGAGATTGCTGACTATAAAAATGAATTAGTATCATGGTCATTGGGACACTCAACCTTCAATCGTGACTTATCCCCTCCATTTCTTTTCCATTGGTACTTACTCTATGCAAAAATTAGCACTTGTTGCATCAGCATTTGGAATTCTCCGAGTAATAGGATGGTCATTCTAGAAACAAGAATTGGTATATAACAATCATTCCCCTTTTTCCACATTTCATGGATAGCTTTGATTTTACAAACCTTTCTCGGAATGCTCTCAGCAAAACAAATTGCTTCGATTATAGTGCGTAATTAGTATAAGAGTGAAGTTTTGAGGAAAACAGACTTAACCTTGACATAATCTCATGGAAGAATATTGATGCAAATAAAGAAATTCTAGTTAACACACCCCACTTATAGTAGACAACATACATATGCATCACACTTGAGATCACCTAGGGTTTTTTGTAGGTTGTAATGGGGCCAGAGGTCAGTGGCTAATGAAATAACGTCAATGGTGGTCAAAAGCTATCTTTTTCACGCAGTGTTGCACACCTCCTTCTAGTTTCTCGACATTTTGCTTGAGAATGAGATTTCTTTCTTTCATTTTTCCCATTTTTCACTTTCTTGGCAATTCCCTGTCTTATAGTATCTTTTTTTATTTTGGCTGGTTCCACCATTTTTCCTTTTATTGAACAGTAGCCACCATTTTCTTTTCTATTTTTCTTGCCTTTTTGTATCATATTGATTTGCAAGAGGGTGCAAGAAATCAGATAGCAAGGTATGGTAAATATATGCTTTTGTGGCTTGGTCATCACATGGGTTTTTTTCGAAAAAAGAATTCATTCATTTAAGGCTCAAGCATGGCTGACTAGGGATATACTTTTGTAAAAGAATTAGCTAAGGCTCAAAGTCGATCTATGGATGGCCTAAGATCCTTTTGTAAGTAGGTGCATATGTATGTGT